AATGCGCTTTTATTTTTGGCCTCTTGATGTAAATCCAAACCAGACAAGCGGAGTCCTCTGGTCAGACGACTGGAAATTCCTCTGCATGAAATCATGTTGGTGGTCTCCCGGCTCAGCGCCTTCTGAAGAGCCGTACAGTGAAATATCCTTCCGTACCACTAATGAATGCGCCCACCCACACTGGAGCTGGTGCCCCCTAAGAACTCAATTCAAGAATAACTTTTTAAACTCATAAATGAAATCAAAGGGCTCATTCTATGAGCCAAAGAGCTTATAATTTTAGGCAGGACGGTTAATGGGTGGTTACTACAGGTTGTCCCCTTGGTTTGCAGTATACAGTCTCACAAGAAAAAATAATAAGCAGGATACCAAATATGTACACAGCATTCCAATTAATTAAATTTCATCCTCCTCCAATGAATACATAAACTGTTGCTACGCTGGTTACTATACAGAGTTTGAGTGACTTGCTCTGCATCAACCAAAGGAACCAAAAGTAAGCTCACAAGATCTTGGTTTACTTTCCTGTGCTCCGACAAGACCCCCCTCTAGATATTAAACAAACGTTAAGCAATCAAAAACTCTCAAAGTGACCATGAAAACTTGAGCAGGAGCATCCATGAAATAATTTTTAAGACTACCGCCACTGAACTCTCCCAAGGACTCCTGTTCTGGTGTGAATGAGCACTTGTCATGGCAAGTACGAGGGGTGAAGCCTGGTGGCAACGGCCGGAGGACTGAATAACCCGGTTGTGCTATCAAAGCAAGACGCGCGTCTAATCCTGCGATGAGGACATGACTCCTTCAGAAAGGCCCGTTATAAAATTATCGAGTGACACGGGGGGTGGAAGGAATCAAGCCCGTTGTAATTGAACTGACTTGAAATAATAAATGCGCACACTTTCTTTAAACACAGCTTGCCACATCCTGAGGATCTGGAATCAATTCCTTCCCTTTCAAGAAGCTTAAAAGTGGTGGGACTTTGATATGGCATAAGCATGTTTGCTTCTGGGCTTACAGCCCTCGCCAGCCCATTCCAAACCTTTCAAAGTTTTTATATTATAAGACAGAAAAGTTAGGAAAACAAAGATGGAAAAAAAGAATCAGAAATTCAGGGAACTATTAAATCAGGGCAGTCTAGCTGCCAAATGCCTTTGGTAAGTAAATGAATCGTGATCAATAACACATTGCCATACAGACTTAAAGAAGAAGGTTATCACCTGCTTCTGCGCCAGGCATAAAACATAACGGTGTGTGGCTAATGAAGTATTGAATGAATCCAGAAAAAAAGTACTATTTTTCTCTGTAATGTTAAAGCATTTTACTTCAAAGTAATTTTAACTCATCCAGAAAAAACATTATTTTTTCCATGAAAATTTTGTCAAAATCAATAGGTTACTATGAAACACTTCTTTTTTGACAATAGTGCATTTGTAAGAGGAAACTGTGTTGATAGAAGGAAACCTACTTTGTTAAGGGGATGTTTCAGCCCCGATTGTAAAGCTGTTTGCTTTATATATTCACATATTTGCCAGCAGAGGGTATCACAATCTTAGAAACAAACAGCCATATGTATCATTGTGTCTATTCCTTTACATGCAAGAATTCAGACACACAGTAAACCAGGAAATTACAAATCTTGTTTTCTTCAGTAACTTTTCCTCTGTCAGAAAAAAATAACTGTTTAGCTATTTAAAGGCTACAGACTCTGTTATCAGTGCCTTCCATCCACCTCTCTCAGGATAGGAAATGTTGCAATGATACAGCCAAGTGATGGCATCACTTGAAGTCTGAAATTGTTGCATGACCCTGGCTGTAAACCCTCCTGGGAGGAACTCCAGCTTGGGCTTATCTTTGGTGTGCATTAGGTTCTCGTTAATTCTCACATCCAGTATCCTCATACTGCATAAATCTCATTAATTATCCAAACCACTTCACGCCACTTTTCTGCAACGATGTTAATAGCCACAGGGTGTAGTGAGAGCTCATGTTACGTAGACCGCATGATCTCTGCTACACCAGTACACTACGAAGAATGATCATATATAATTACACCTAACCCACACTTCTCGCAGATAGAGATAGGCTGATGCTACAAATTCCCAGCCTGATATCCCACGCATTAATGAGTTCACCTCCCTGACTCCCAAGTTAAGAGAAAATAACTTAAACAACCTGATATTTGGTGCTTTAGCTTACTCGGTATTCAACAATCTCCTATTCCCAATCAAAAGAAATTAAAATTATTTTTATATACTGGTCTGGGTTCTCTGTTCTGTTTTTGATTTATTAACAAGTCTTTTTCTATTTGTGTATTTTGATCATGTGCATCTGATGTCCTGGTTAATGTTATCTCTGGTGTGGCTTTCCAGATTAACCCAAGCACCTGAGTCAGCTGGAACTAAGAGCCAACATAGAGGATGACTATGAGACACCTTTATTTGAGAGCTGGGGTGTATAGAAACTGCTTAAGATAACCACAAGCAGCAATCGCTGTTCTTTCTGGATCTTACCTGCTCACACAGAGACAGGGAAAGGCATATTCTCCTAAGTAATTATATTTTAATTTAAAAAATGGTTTTTTTATTACTACGGAACTATACACAGCTACTTCTGCTGTTATATAGGGAGGAAAAGGCATCAGAACCTGCTTGCAAAGCAGCATCAGGGTTAGAGCACCAGATCCCTTTCTTATTGGTGTTGCAACTTTTAAAAATACCAATCAAAAAGAAAGAAGTTAATTAGGAAATACGTATACAGTGGTGCTGTCCTTTCCTTTTTGCACAGTCTTTTCACTGCTCAAGTGATCTAGCACAACTACCTTTTAATTAACTCATCTGCCATCCAAATCAGCCTTCAGAATAACTGCTGTAGGTTCAGATTAACTGGACAGGAAAGTGGGTAAAATGTCCCTGGGATAAGGGAAAAGCTATTCTTGCTCAGCCCTTGAAAACTGAAAGTCAATTACTCTGCTGAAATTGAGGTCGACTTCCCACATGGCGTAAGTCTGCACTGATAGTCCCAAGGACTCCGAGGTCCTCAGATGCTTTACTCTGCTGATAGAAAGAACATGTAGGTACTACTTATACTCCGCTCGTCTCTGCTTTGTTCTCCTTGCACTGCAGCACTCCAGCTGTAAGAAATTAAGCTAAAAGCTTTTCTCTACTTCAAAGAGGAAAGTTGAGTATCAGTATGTTCACAGATTCCAACGTGTCTGCATATCACAAGAGCATGAACCAGCGAACTAAACAGAGTGAGGACTTGCATGGAACAAAGCTTTTTGCTCTCCTGCAATTTAGCGTCTCTTTTCTCTATAACCTTGCTGTGCTCAATTGCTGTTGAGAAGGATTTTCCTTTTATTATCAAAAGTACCTAAACCAAGAGTTTGTTAGGCAGAGCTAGGGAAAGCTCCCATTAATCACACTGCAGCTAGTAAAACTGTGGAGACACGGTCACGAGCACTTTGCAGGGTTAGATTTGTTATCTCACAGTAGCGGATATCCGACCTTGAATTCCAGCTCTGGTTATGGCCAGGTGCAGACACCTCTAGTACAGCCATTTCTTACGGGTAGAGCTGCCAGCCCTTATGAATCCAGGGATTCACATATTGCAGAGTCACTGAGAAGCGACACGTTGGGATTATGCGTGTGGACAGATACCCGTAGCTCTTTTAGAATGCAAGAGGCAGCACAGCTGAATTTAAGATTTACAGTTGTGGAGCAGACCATAAGAATTCCTTGTAAATGGCCAAGATATTTTCACTGTAACATCTATTCAGTCTAACTCTTAATTTATCTTCCTTTTACAACTTCCTACAGAGGTTAGCTGAGCATCCCATTAGCATTAGACAAAAAAAATAACTTTTTAGCATCCCTGAGAAGTGAAGCACTGTAATTATTTCCTTCTGTTAACAACACAAAAATATTACAGAGCAGATTGTTATCTGACATAAATCATCATTTACCCATTTTCATCTCATGGGTCAGCCCCAGGCAATGAAATATAATCACACAGATGAAATCTGTGGCAGAGCTGGAACCTGAAAAAAAATCTAGTCTTTTCTGAATGATACAATATGAGCACGCGGTGTTTAACATGCCTTAGGTCTCAGTCTGAGAAACTAGTGATATAAGGTAAGATGTACATCAGTGAGTGACTGCAATCTTCTACTTGATCATCTTGAGGGATACGGCAGTGTAAATCCATTAACTTTCATGGAGCAACAGGAGCTCAGACTAGCTGAAGTCTTGCCTCTCTGAAGGGAAAGGAATGTGGAGAAAAGCAATTTCATTACAAGGACAATGTAGGATGTGTGTAAATATGCATGGCATCCAGCTCGGGAGAGTATTTCTTTTGACACACAAATGTGAGGAGAAGTCTGGAGGTTACAGAGTGCAATTAAATTTCTTAAAGCCATTTCTTTCATTTAATTACTTTATGTTTAATGTCTTGACATAACTCAGTTTATATGAGTAAATTAGCTATAACAGCATAACATAATCATGAGATAAGTGGGCCAAGAGTCTGATGGCCACTCCTAGCAAATTACGAAGGGTCAGGGCATGGCTTGCTCTCCTGCAGTCATTCAATGCTAAATTTTTAGTACTAGCACAGTTTTAGGTCCAGTCAACACACACTCCTCTAGGCAGTGCCTGGGCAGAGTGGAGGAGATAGCACAGGCCACCAGTCACTTCCAGTAAGCAGTATGGGATGCTGTTCTGGTGAGGGAGCTGGGCTGTATGGACAGGGCGCCATGTCACGGCAGTTGGTAACAGGGCTACTGAATGCTCTGTCGCCTGTTTTATTTACTAGCGTAGATGTAGTTAATTCAACCGTGGACATGTGAATTGAGTCCACTGAACCTGCTGTCTCAGGTTGATCAGCAATGGTACCTGATGTCATATGAACAGTATGAACAATAAAATGATGGGAGAATGGCAAAATGATTCCCTTTCTAAGCACACAAACTCCCTGGCACATTTGGTAACGATCCTACTCACCAGCATTATCCTGCTGCTTGGTATTTTTGATGTATGCAGAAAATTTGGAGAAGATATCGATTCCAGCAGTGTTTGATTCCCGGTGCTTAGCAGCCAGCGTGGGGTACCTGAAAAGGGAGAAGCAGCGTGGAGAGTAACATCTTGTTACCAGCAATATAACGATGGATTACAAATACAATTTACAAGAAGCAAGAAAAAGGCCCTGTACAAGGAGTTGCAATTAACACTGTCATTTATCTCAAAACAACAGCTTGGCAAGTCCCTCTTAATAATATCTGTGTCTGTCAAGGCAGGCATTTGGATAGTTACACAAGGATGGCTTTGTGACAAAGGTAATTGCACTGGTGATTTATGTGACCATGATCCAAGATACAGTGGCCTTAAATAAGAAAGAAGCCTACATTTTCAGAAAGGTGCAGGGGAGTTTGGCAGCCAGCAATCTCTATTATGAACGGCAGTCGTGGCTAATTCCCTACGCTGAAAATGTACTCCAGGATGTAATAGCAAGGCATGCTAGCAATAAACATAAACTTTTCAGTCTCTGAATTGTTTTTTATAGACATCTGGTGCAAAGGGATATATCGATTTGAAAGACCAACACAAACTAATGATTCCTACTGATTTCAGTGGTCTTGGACCAGAGTATAGAAAATTTAAATATCTGATCTCTCACCTTAGGACTAGCCTATAGCTGCTGATTCAGTTGGAGGTAAAACACTCCACAAGAAACTGAGTCAATTTTCATTGATTCGTAGATTTTAAGGTCCAAAACACAAGCCAACAATTTTTTTCCCCATTATCCTTGTATTAAGTCCAAAATGTTTGACTAACTAAGGCATATCTGGTGAATCTGAAGCTTTCCTTGGTAGCTTGATCCAATGGTTAATCATCCATACTGAAAAAATCTATGCCTTGTTTCTAATCTGAATTAGTTTGGTTATAACTTCCAGTCATGGGCTCTTGTCATTTCTTGACTAGAATAATGAGCACTTTTCTGCCTCCAGGGCCTCTCGTACTCTGTAATCAGTTCCCCTTCCAACCTTTCTAATACACCATACAGTTCAGAAACCTCCAGTTATTCACTGTAAAATGCTTTTTCTGGCACAGATGTTTTGTGTGGCAATTCTCGGCATCTATTCCAAGTTATTTTTAGCTTTGTAAATTGTGGACACCAGACCCTTGCAAAATTTTTCTACTATTGGTCTCCTTAATTCTGCATACAAGGGCATCCTGAAATGTGTACAGAGAAAACATTCTGCAGTTATTAGTCATACAAGTAACCTTCACACATGGAAGTCATCTCAGTGAAGCCAGCAAGTTTCATAAATAAATATTACTCCTGTAAGTAAAGATTGTAGGAGGGAGTGCTTTTTAGGAACTCCTCTTAGGACATCTTTCATTCCTAGGAAATGGAATATTGACTGAAAAAATCCCAAGTCCTTACTTTGGAGGTGCAAGAATCTCTTCCAAGAATTCCTCAATCTTGTTAACATCTGTCTTGACTTCTCCATTAAAAGTCAAGAAAGGTGGGTGGGTCCCAGGAGCCAGATTGTGTAGGTCAGCTGGCTTTCTGCAGGGAGAGAAAAAGTCATGAAATCACTAATCTTTATAGTCAGGTAGTTGCACAGATATTTATAGTTCCTACAAAATCAGTTTCCCCTCTTTTTTTTTTTTTTTTCCTCTAGCTTGTGGTTAGAAGACTTTGAAACTACCCCAAGCACCCTGTTTAATATAAAAACATTCCACAAGTGGAAAAAAAAACCCCAAATCTGAATCCCAACTATTTTGGTGTGCACCACAGACTCATTAGGCCAGATTCAAATCTGATTGAACTTGGGAGGGCCTTTCTATAGGGCAAATATTGGATCATATAACTATTTGGAATTAAACTGAACAATTTTTACCTTTTCAGGTCAACAGTGGTGACGTTGAACACAACTCCTTTGAGCCACAGGATCATGAAGAGGCGCTGGGAGAATGGGCAGTTCCCAATACTTTCTCCATCTATACCAGCCTGAGGGATAGAAAGAGAGGAAAAAAAGAGTTCAGACTCATTAGTCACCTCCCTCAGGATGGAAAAGTGGATGTTGAAATAAAAATAACTAGTTCAAAAATAACCGACAGTGCCTGTTATTTAATATAGTTTATCATCCACACAAGAACAGAGCTACTCCAGGATTCAGCCTTCATCAGGAGCTTGAGAAAGCAACCTGGTGCCTCTCTTGATGGCAGGTCTGGATAAAGGAGATGTGTCCCTTGCTGATGGTAAGCACCATCCAGGAGACTGTACATTCTTTCAATTACTTTCATCCCTATAGGACTGCCTGCTTTATGGACGCACTATAACACTCAGGACAGGTTTTCTGCTCTAAGTCAATGAACTGCAGCTTGTATCAGCTCAAGATCTGCTTCACTGTTTTACCAGCCAAAATGTGGATTTTCAGATCTAGATTTAAACCCAAGCACTCTGGACATTCACTCATTCTTGTTCACATCCAGTAAAGCAACAGCCTCAGACACAAACAACCAGATCCAGACAGAAATCTCCATCAGAATCCTTCCAAAGTTCAAGGCAGATTTCAGCCACCGCATTCACTCTGTTCCTATCACTAGTACCTAATGAGTTGCCTACAAACCACTACAAAACAATAAAAACCTGCTAGTGTTAGCATTGAGGAAACAGCCTATTTTTTCCTCTAAAAATTTATGGTCATGCAAATTCTGACTTTGAGCCATGGAGGGATACAAATAACACCAGCTGAACTGAGCCAAAGCTGCATCCAAGGACAACATCCTTCTACAATAATTATGCTTGTGGCCAAAGCTTTCAGGACGATAATGGTTTTGATAGATTTCCATTTTAATTTGTGGTACCATTGTGTTTAAAAGATTCTTATAATCCTGGTGAAGCAACCAACCTTCCGATGTTGACACACATGGGTTGCATAACTATTTTATGCACACGATGTGTGTCCAAAAAAGACTGATGAAAGAGCTAAGCAAATACATGCCATTTTCCTTTGGAGAAAAATATGATATTACTCTGTTTGTTCTCATAAATTTTATCTTATTAATATTCAAGCTGTGAGGTAGCATTTCTCTGTCTTGAAGAAGGAATCACTTCTAATTATTGCAGTTCTATGAAACATTCACAACACAACTAGAAACATTTTGAGATGTGTCCAGTTGCTATACATTCAGGCCTTGCATGTGAAATGTTTAGCGGAAAGATTTTTCTGGTGGGCGTCATGAATCTTTCTCATGTCTTGAACACAGGTTTTGGTGATTCTGGGTTTAAAAACAAATTCAAGATTCCCATCCACCAAAATATGGAGAGAGTGTGGATTCAAGACTTGAAGACAATGTGTTGTAAAGTTTAGGGCTGTGTAAAGACACAGAACAAACACTCAGAATCTAGAGGTATTTGTATATGGTGGTACAGTTTGGCTGCTTTTTTACCTGAAAAATGGATCTGCAATACGGCTGGCACATGGCATATGCAAGAGCCAGCAGATGAAGTGGGTGAAAGAGTGGTATGGCATGAGGATGAGCAAGAGAAGATGCATTTTCGCATCTGCCTGAGGTGTGAGCGGACTAGTTTTGCAAAATTCTTTTAATTAAATAGTTAGCTCTGTTCTGCACGTTTCAGGGCAAACCAATGACAATGTTACCATAAGAATACCAAGCACCACCATATTGCATGCAATAATTACTGCAAAGTCACATTTGTTGTTTTGGCTTTGGCTTGTTCAACCATTGCCAAGAACTTTTAACTTCTTACCCTTCCTGAAAAGAGGCAAATGCTATAAGAGAAAACAGCTATATGACACCAAATTTCCCCTTGGCTTTTTCACCATCTCAGTCATAATCATATCCTTCATAATGGAGTTGGCCAACTGAGTCTACAAACCATATATTACAAACCTAAAATTTGAAGAAAAACAGACTGACGACTGAATTAAAGGGCAAAAAAAGTGCAGACAGAAGGACTGACTCTCATCTTACCTTCTCTTGATTTACTTTGGCTTATAACTCCATTGAGTCTGATTCACTCTTCACCTGACTCCCTTCAAAGTGAGTGTAAAAACCTTGGTTTGTCAAGTTCTGCAAATACTTTGTGAGAGGGGTCTTGTCTCACAACAGTATGCAAAGCTCCAGCCCTCCTGCAGGTCTCCATCCTGCATGGAGGCAATCTGCATGTCCTCATCACCCACTTCTTGTGCTGCAAGTTAACAATATCACCTTTTTTCAGGAAAGAGACTCAGGGAGATCATTTCCCTGCTCTCTAATTATATATTCCCGTATGAAGGTTAAGGTTTAGCCACATCTGCATCTTTTTATATTTTCTCCATCCTGCAAGGCAATCCTCAAGACCAGAGAGGATTATTGAGGGAACAAAGCAGATGAATGACAATGTAGACACAGAAGTGATGGGTCCTGTGAGGTTAAGGGATGCAGAAATCATTGGGGACAGCAAAAAGATGCAGAGTATGGAAGAAATAAGATTCACTTAAACATCAAAATTAAAATTAATTGTGGAGGTCAATTGAGGCCTCCAACAGCCCCAAATGGTCAAAATATCTTCCCGATACTTCCAAAAGAGTGGGAAACATTAATTGCTAGAGACACATTGGGAATAGACAGAGGAAATTCCAGAAATGAAAGATAAACTAAAGAAAAAATATGGTATGATCTCTGTTCAACGCTCCTGAATCTGGAAGCCAGGCTCATGATTTGGGTGGAGTCTGATTCATGGGTTTTGATCTCATGTGACTGGTATAACTGAAAACGCTACCACAAATCACAAGGCAAAGTGGTGACAGAGGAGGGAACAGAATCAAAATCTCCCCAGCAACACAATTTATCCATTAAATTCAGCTCTTTTTCTGCAGAAATTATAGGCAAGGCTCTGTCAGTTTTGTGAATCCTTTCTCATTGCTTCTAACAGCAGTCAGTAATTCAATGTTCAGCACTCAGAAAGAGCAAAACCTTAGTAGGTAATAACTTCAAAGGCTTATCAGAGTGTCTCAAGATCCCTTGTGAAGTCTATTAACTACCAGGAGGAGATGAGGAAGAACAGAGAACTTCCCAGGCTTAGTCACTCTTAGCTTCAAAGAAAAACAGCTTGCTTAAAGCACCCTGATAGTGCCTAAATACAAGTCTATTGTGTGTTTGTCCAAGGTTAAGGGCTCAGAAATGCAGGAATTAAATAATACCTTCATCAAGATCAAGACTCAAACAGTGGATGGAAAGAAAAGAACATATAATCGACAAGCTGGAGAAACACCATTTATCCCTGCTGCTATTCACAAATGAGCACAAAAGCTTTCTCACATAGCTTCCCTGAAGCACAGCAAAAGTGATCAACCACTTATAAAAAGGAGCAAGCTGGGGATATATGTGCTCTTCCTGCCAGTAATGCTGGATATTCCTGATTTAATGATTGCAGCTGGGGTTAGACTTGAGGCTTTGTGGGCACTAGGATCAAGGAAACCGAGTTTTTATAGTGCGCTGTAACTCCCAAAGCTGTGAAAGGGTTTCAGAGCTGCCTTCTCCTGCAGATGAGCAGTCCCTCCTGTTCCCTACGGATAGGGACGTGACCTGAAAAGGCAAATTCCCAGAGCGACTGGGGAAGAGTAAAACAGATTGGAAGATTTGCTGGGTGAGACACTTCAGCTGATGCTCGACCCGCTGAAGTTTAACTGAGAAGCCTAAGGGAAGGTCTCCTGTGCAGGCAAGGCCAGGATGCACATCCAAAAGATGAATCTGGCCACCTTTCACTTTGGCTGAATTTGATGAGTGAATTTAGGTGCGATGAATGTGGACCCCAGCAACAGAAAAGCCTGGAATCTGTGGAGGCCTAATCGCTAGAGAATTATTTTACTCCATCTTTGAAACATCATTTTCTGCTCCCATTGCTTCACACAAACTTACTCTTATTAGTTTAGCTACTAAAAAAAAAAAAAAAAAAAAAAAAAAAGGCTTTTTACTTAATTCTCAAGTATTTGAGGAA